GTTGTTGCTGTGATTGCACCTGGTGCTGATGACCATTGGCGCGGCAAGACGAAGACGATGAAGAATGTTGCAATAAAGCCGGATTGGTCTGCGACTGAGCATGTGCGCGTTGCTTCATTACGGGCGCAACGGGTGCTGGAGCCGGTGGCTCATTCCCCTCATCTTCGCTATCGGAAATCGTTATGACAGCCGAGGGCGATGGCGTATCGTGAATAGTAATCGTCTGTTGCTTTACAATAGCACCATGATGCTGATGCGAGTGTGGCACCGATGGCTGTACCGGCTGATGTTGTTGCGAGTGGTGAGTTTGATGATGATAATTGCCACCACTAACGCTATTGTTGCTGCTACAATTGTTGATAATGTGATGATTGCTATTGCTGTAGCCGCCAGCATTACCCCCGCCATTACTGCCGCTGCTGCTGCTAATAACATGTTGTTGATTGGCCGAGTTGCTGCTATGATGATGGTGCCCACCACCATTGCTGTTGCTCTGACTGACAATATCTGAGGAAGAAGTAAGGTAGATGAGTTAGAATGCAAGTAGAAAGGGGAATTTGGTATTTGAAAGATGATCTCTTCCTTACTACTGGACGAAGCTGAAGTGATAACCGGTCCAGCGTTACTATTATAACTGCTACCATAGTTGCAATTATGATGGCTATGGTATTGCGGAGAAACATGCGAAGCGCGATTATAACGCTGCTGATGTGGTGGAGAGCTCTCCTTTACACGCTTCTTAACAGGCGACAGTTGATTGTTCTCCTTTTTGTCATGGCGCGGCACACGATACGAGTTGCTCTTCGTACTGTAAATTGAATTGAATGAAAAATTAGATAATTTAAAACCATTCGGTGCTTATGAGACATGATTACTTACACTAAATGCTGCACTGGCGACTCCTTCTTGAGATCATTTCTTGGTATATTCAAATGGTGTTTCGGATAAATTTCCTCAACGTTCAAAAATGGCGCTGAATCAACAATCAACGAATGCGCTGGTGCTTGCTGCCATGAAGGCACCAATGCCATCTGCCGTCCATTTTGTGGCCATGCCACACCGCTTGCTTGCACACGATTGGTCAGCAACATACGTTGGCCGGAAGCCGGTTCCACCATTGACACTGGTACAGGCACATTCACATACTGCTGTGGAGGAACCTTTGAAATGTTTATTTTCGTTACTTTTAAAAAGGATTAAAATCCGCTTATGTACGTACTTGCAATGGTGGTTGCATTGTAGCGCTACCAACAACAACATGCTTGGTCGGACTGGGCATAGCTTGATAAGAGGGCGGACACAATATATTCAGCTGATGTTGGAAGGCATCTGCAGGCCGTTGAGTGTACTGCCGTCCGACATTGCGACCGCCATAGATTTGGTAGAGTCCTTCATAGGCTAGCGGACGTTCACGCACCAAACGCTGCACTTGACTGGTCAGCTGATTGTTGATGGTAAACGTCATATTCTCGGTAGTGCTGGGTACAAAATTGGTAACCAAAGTAGAGGCTGGTTGTACGCTGCGCAATTGGCAATGAAAACAAATAAAAAAAATGCACGAAACATTATTAATGAAAACATGCGACAGTTTGCAATAATTTTTAATGCAATAAAAAATAATGTGTAGGTACTCACGTATGGAAATCGCCACGACGGCACACTTCCATCATTTGCACCGATGCCTTTACATTGTTACAATAAACATAGTCAACTAGGTGGGTGAGGCGTACAAAGGAATGATTCAACGCCTCAGCAGGGGTAAGACGACGCTCTTGGTCAATTGTCAGCATACGCTTTAGCAGGTCAATGAACTCACGCCGATCGGTTTTCTCGGCCAACAATTGGCCACCTTCCAAATCGGTAGGCACATTTACCTGTCCGATGTCATCCAAACAATTAAATATATATTTGCGCGCCTCTTTGCTCTTCGTATTTGTCTCTGCTTCATGCTCTTCTGTGGTTTTCAAGCGCCAAAAAGGATAGGTCGAATCGACGTCGCGATAGAAAAATTTCGATGTCTTCGAGGCGCTGTTCAACATATGTTCCGTGGGCAGACCCTGTGTCTGTGATATGTACCTGTGGGTTAATTATTTAGCAATAGGGTTATTTGTTCATTAACAAAAATCTGTAGGCAAATATCCGAGAAATTAAAAGAATAAACTCACCTTATTTGATCGAACTCAGACGAGCCCGGATATAAGGGCCAACCCAGGAACAGTTCTGCCACTACACAGCCCAACGACCACATATCGATTGCCTCACAAAATGGCAGACCCAAAATTATTTCCGGCGCACGATAGTAGCGCGATTGCAAGTAGGTGTTGCAAACTGTTTTGCTAACGTGCGATGCGCTGCCAAAGTCAATCACCTTCACCCTAAAAAAAAATTAGTGAAATTGCGTTAAATTTTGTATACATATACATATAAACCAAAGGCTTGACGATAACTTACCTATAGGGCTGTCTGACAGGATCTACCAACATTATATTTTCCGGCTTCAAGTCAGCATGAATCAAACCAAGTTGCTTTAGCTTCAGCAACGCCGTTAAAACCTGGCGAGGAAAATGGGTTTTAGGTTTTAGTTTCGTTGACAATAATAATATAAGAATTCAAAACAAATATTGGTATTCGCTTAAATGGGATATGTGTCGAATAATTCGAAAGTCTCGAAACTTTTATTCAACTCTCAAAATTAGTAAGAAATATTTTAAGGTTTAAGGGAATCATTAAATGAAAGGCGAAAAAATTCACTTCGCCACAAAATCTTTTGAAAATAATTTTCCTTTGCATTTCAACGAACTATTTTAACAAGAAATACTGGTAACTATTTTAAAGGAAGTGTGGATTCAGATCATATTTGGATGATGTAGGCATTAGAAATGTGTTAAATTTAATTTAACCAGCCTAGCTAGTTTAGCCGCATTATTTCAATAAAAAATTCCGTTTCATATGCTTTTTGTAAGCTTTTTTTACTTGTGAAAGCGATAATTTTCAATGGCCAGGTTCAATATTTTTTAAACCAATTTTTGTTTTTCTAAAATCGAAATATGTATATGTATGGGCATTCCAAATAAATGTTTCGAAATAGAAATCAAAAATAAGTATAAATCGATTTAAAGTTAAAGAAATAATAATATCACGAACCTGCTCCAATATGGGCCGGATATATTTCAAAGGTAATGGTGAAAATTTGTTTTGCTTCAGGAAATCATAAAGATTCTGCTCAAGCATTTCAAATACCAAACATGTGTGGTTTTTTATGTTGAAAACACTCGAAGGCGCGTACAAAATTGAATTCGTCTGCATTTTCCTGACTGAGTCGCGACAAAATCGACACTTCAATTTGACCTTGACGTGCATATGACGGATGATTCTTTAAAATCTTAATAGCCACAATTTCTGAGGTGCCACGCTTCCAGCACTTAACCACTTGACCGAACGTGCCGCGTCCCAGAAACTCCAGTACCTAGGAAAAGTAATTCAATTAAAACAATTCAAGAATTCAAAAAGAAGCGCCAATAACTCACCTCATACTCAGCGG